TCTAATGGGGCTACTGCTTAGAGGCAGCCTGTAAGGTTTTACCTAATCTGGCCCCAAATCCCTGAGATTTGATCCAAATAGGACTATCCCTTCTCGTAGAAGACTAAAGTGATTAGTTGTTGGGGATTTTTTTTTTTCATTCTACGTAACAGGTACAATATCCATTCATTGTTGTGTTGAAACATTTAATTGAGGGTTGAGCAGTTTGAGATATGTTGTTGTAGATTCTTGTACACCCTTGACCGCTTCCTTATTCATGTCCCTGTTCCATCACTTAACACTGTAACAATTCATGGAACACATCCTCTTTCTGTCTAATGTTATGGAAAGGTGGAAAGGATTCACAGTGATTATGCCTATGATGGAATATGAACACTATAGTAATCAGTATTATTAGTAAGAAAAGAAGCAGGGTCATTCATTCAGCATTTTTTTTTTTTGAGCACTTGCTATATGCAAGGTACTTGGCTAAAGCATGGCAGGAGAGATCCCTTGAAGAAGAAACATGTTGGGAAGGGTTAGCAGATTCCATGCCACATAACTGTGGCAACACAGTAGGGTAAGGTGGGGATGGGAATATGCTAGAGGTTATAGTAAATGCATTGTGCTCTCCCTGTTGCATAGGAATTACAGGCTTTATACTTAGAGTTTAAATATGGTTGCCTCAGTGAGTAATGGCTTCATTGTGGATTTTGTCTTTACCTCTTTGCCCAGTATGTTTCATAACAACAAGTGTAATCTTTGTGATTATATTACTTGCCTAGTATGGGTATAAAAATAATTTTTTTAAAAATCTGGGGTTTTGTCAAACCTTCTGGAAGGCTATTTTTGCTTGTTTTTGGTGTAATTAGTATATAGTATTGATCATAGTATTGATTAGCATGTAGTATAGTATTGAATGTGTCTGTAATATTATTAACCCAATGGAAGTGAATTGTGGCAATTTAAAATTGTCCTCCAAAACTCAAATTTGTGAAGTTGACATCTGTGTTACTTCCTCTTCCAACCTTTCAAAGACTATTGTACCTGAATAAAAAAATTTCACAGTAGTATACAGTCTGATGATCCTGTGGGCTTGAGGTTTAAGATTTTTTTTTTCTAGGATTTGAGTAAAATGTGTACTTTTTAGTTTATATTTTGTGTTCATCTTGACACTCCTGTCATCTAGAGCCACTGAATATAATTCTCTTTCTCCAAAATTTAGTTTGTTCTGAAATCATTCTTCATACAGATGTGCATTTCGGTGAAATTCTATACTTAACCAGTGAGCTGTGCTCTTGTTATATCATTGATGCTGAGAAATTTTTAATAGATTTATGACTTTATTTATCATGGCTCTAATCTCAGAAATGTAGATAAGGTTGCTGTAGTTAACTTAGTTTTTTATCAGTATAGCTGGCATTTTTATCTATGCATCTGAAAACAGGATACCCACACGAGTTATATGTTATCTATAAACTTATATGTGGTTTTTTTTTTTTTTAATATGATAACCTAGTGTATTTGTTCTGTACTATCTGGGCACTGAGTTAACTACTTCTGTCTGACTTTCACCTATGTATCAAAATAGATACAAATTGAAAAGAAATGTCCTTAAAGTTCAAAGTCCTAACAAATTTACCAGCCATTAGATTATGGTGTCTGCTGTTTTATTTCACTCAGTCCATGGCTTCTTGACCTTCTTGGGCAATTGGATCATTACTGGACATATGTTTCACTTTACTCCTGAAAGGTGAATTCACAAGTTCTCTTAAACTGATTTTACAGTAATTTATATAAAATATGGATCATCGTTAGAAATAAGTCTAGGAGAGGGTGGGATGAGGGTATGAAGACTCATGACTTAAGCTTTGTCCTCCCAGATCTGATGATGATCCCCCTTGTAACTTGAACCATTTCCATCTAGCTTCTCAGGGCAGCAAGGAGCTTGTTAACATCACCAGCTGACCATGTGTCTCCTTTTCTCAACTCCATTTTCAACTCCGTGCTGAAGAAAAGAGAGAACCTAGCGTGCATTCTGTGAAGAAACAGGAAGATGGTTGGGAAGCTGGATGATGCATGAAAAATATAATAGGTGAAAAGAGGACAGAGGTGGTTAACTCACTGGCGCCGGCGTTATTTTGGTGCGTCCATTGCCGACAATGGACGTCGTTCCGGGAAAATCCCGACTCCTGGCGTGAAAGGATTAAGTGAGCTATCTTTTCTATACCTATATACACAGGACAGCTGCCTTGGCTATACACGGCTTACACATTTTCACTCCCTAAGTTGCAGAACCTGTGAGGAACATCAATAACATGTACTTTGTCACACACATAATCACATTATACATATTCATATGCACAGCCTTTGCTGGCCTACATTTTCAGCTGGGGCACTTGCATACAATTCCATTTGGAAAAGGAATTGTATAATATCCCCTATGCTGAAAATGTACCCAAGGTCCAACAGGTCATGACAGTTGGAGAAGGTAAATAGGTGGTGATTAAATGCAGCTCCTGTTCAAGATGACTGCAAACATCTGTGTTCGGTTGGATCCTCAGAAAAGGAGGTAAGACTCCTGTGACATGACTAGTATCCTTTGACATTGAGTAGCAGGAGACTGCTGTGGCTAATATTTCCAGAGCCTTTCCTGTTGATGGTTATGATGGATATGTAGCCAGAGGAAAGAAAAAATTTCTCAATTGTTGCTTAATAATAAGAAATTTAGAGGCAGAAGGAGTCCTTGAAAGCTGTTAAGTTTAGTACTTTTAGTTACCTATTTTGATCTTTCACTCTTACTCATCTTTATCTTAAGTCATTTGAATTTTTTTTTAATTCATAAAAATACATAAATAACTATATTGTGTCAGACACATAGTTCATTTAGCCCTAGGATGTGCCCCAAGGAAGGCATAATTGTCCTAAGTAACATTATACCTAATGGGTTAGGCTTTATATGCTCAAAAGAACTTGGAAAGAAAATGTGAAGGAGCCAGAAGTCTCAAATTTAGATGATTTGAGTAAACATAACTCAGGAAAAAATGCTAATGTAGTATTAGTATAAATTAATAAATTGTAAATAAATTAATAAATTGTAACTTAATTTAATTGTAATTTGATTAAAAAATGTTCTGGGTTCTCTGTAAACTCCCAAGAATCTCTACAAAGGCAGTGCATTTACTTATGTAAGTTGTGCTGTTTGTCAGTGATTTTTCATTTTTTGAGAAGAAGAAAAGGTAACGTTAATACTTCAAGTGTTAGGAGAAAAGTTAGCTTTAAAGTATGTGGTAGTGACTTAAGTAAGCTAAATTGAAGTAAGGGTAGAAATATATAAATATTGTTACATCTAAGTATTAATCAACAAGCTAGTCACGTGCATGTTGGGCTAGTATAACTGAGTCACATGTATTGCCCAGTAGCATATGGGACAATAATGTCAATTATTTAATAAAATCATTAGTTTTTTAAAAATTCTTTAAACCTATTAAGAAAATAGGTTTTTATTGATGATTTTTTTTTAACTCCTATGGTTTCCCCAGTATCCCTCTTCCTTCCCTTCCCAGAAAGCTATCCCATATAACAGAGTATTTGTTTAAGACAAAAAAGAAAATGAGGGGGAAAATCAGCATAACTTATCAATATATTGAAAAATTTTTTCAGATTTTTTTCAATGTGTAACACTTATTAACCTCACTTCTCTGCAAAGAGATTGGGTACTGGTGTCTTTTCATTCACTTTCAAGTTTTTTTTGTCGTTCTCTCCATTTATATCGTCATTATCTTTAAAATTAACTTAATATTTTATTTCCCCCCAGTTACATGTAGAAACAGTTTTTAACATTCATTTTGAAAATTAAGTTCCAAATTCCCTCCCTCCTCACCCCCTCATTGAGAAAGCAAGCAATTTGATATGGATTATCCTTGTGTAATCATGCAAAACATATTTCCATATTAGTCATGTTGTAAAAGAAAACAGAACAAAATAGAAACTCAAGAAAATAAAGAAAGTAAACAAAGTATGCTTTAATCTGTATTCAGATTCCATCCATTCTTTGGAGATGGATAGCATTTTTCATGATGAGTCCTTCAGAGTTGTCTCGGAGCATTGTGTTTTTAGAATAGTTAAGTCATTCAC